GGTATACAGACTTTATTCCTATTTCCTACCTCTAAAAGGTTGATTATGTCTCAAAAGACCCCCCAACCCAAGAAACATTGAAAAAACTATATTTTTCCTTTCCCCGTCTTCTTCTGCAATCTTAACATAGCCTAACTAAATCTCTTTTGTCCCAAGACCATATCTTAAACATAAATCATTCTGCTGGAGAGGTTTTTTATTTCCTCTGCATAAAGTTTGGTTCAAACCGTGTGCAGTCTGAAAAGAAGAAGCGCACGGCGTTAGTGCAAGAAGCAAAAAGGAAGAAACTGATGAAAAGAGTGGAGCGAAAGATGGCTGCGGTTGCAAGGGAAAGGGCGTGGGTTGAAAGACTAGCAGAATTGAAGAAGCTTGAGGAAGAGAAGAAGAACAAGAAGGAGGCTGCCATGGCTTAGCCTTCCTCCTCTTTGCAAAATGCAAAAAGGTCTATAACAACAAGGTTGCTTGCTTGCTTTATGGAGATTGTTGCCCCTTTCCTCAATATTCGTTTTTTAGTAGATTATTTTGTTCGAAATGGAAATTTCAAAGGAATTGAAGTTCTCTGTTCGAGTGATTTCAATTTCAATGCATCTCCCTTGGAACATCTTGGAAACAACCTATTTACTCTTCATAGTAGGGGTAAGGTTTTTGTAATTTTACCAGTTTTTTGTTTTTTTTTTTGGTTTTGTTGTGAGAAAGGGACTAAGGAAAATTTACTGTTTATCAATGTTATGCCTATAAAGTTACCAAGCTAAGTGTCTGTATTTGTCTGACATATAAATGAAGTATTCTATTTTGGTGTGCCCCTAGGTTTATTTTTCTTCTTAATGTAGTACGGAATATTATCCAGTGACAAATTGTTTGTGTTTTTTAATAAAAAATACTTCCGTCAAATGTTTTATATTTTTTTTATAATTATAAAATATGTCATTTGTATGTATATTTTTCTATAATTTGTAAATAAAATAATTTAAAAGAAATGAAATTTTACACTTTGACAATTAAAATGTACTTGAATATAATTTTTCTAAAGAATATTCATAACATATCATAAATAAATGTGAGTAAAAGTGTACAAGGAAAACGAAAATTAGACATAGTGCTTCATAACATTAAGGTTAATTTTAATATGATATGGGCTCTTAGGTTAAGAACTTTTTGAAATTGATTTTCATATATTTTTTATAAAAATAATGAAAAAAAGTGGGAGTTAATTTCAAAACCGATGCACAAAAAAATGAGGTGGGGAGGGCATCAACGAAAAATATATAGAATTAATATACATACAAATAACAAATGAATAAAGGCAAAAAGAACATTTGTTAGAAATATACTACCCCGTAATAATATTTATTTAGATAAAAAAGAAATAAACCATATTTTTCGTTTTTACAATCAAATGAAACACACATGGAGACATGGATGGGACCCACCAATTGTACATTCTTATGTAAGCCACACACAAGTGTATCACTAAACAAATACATATTACAGAATGAAAATATGTTTTTCTAATCCTACAAAAAAAGGAACCAAATTTCTTCAAAATCCCATGTCTGAATCTGAATCAGGATTCACAGATGACCTCACTGACCTGTGTTCTTGATCATAGTCTCTGTCATCGTCGTCTTGTTTGGTCTCCTTGATCATTCCTACAAATATGTTGGTTTAGGCACAGCCAAAAAGTTGAGATTTTTGTTTCTTCTCAAGAGAAAGAAGAAAACAAAAGAGACATCACCTTTCTTTAACAAAAAAGACTCCAGTGTTTTTGTGGAGAAATCGTCCTTTCCTCCCAATTCCTGAAACCCGACAAGCCTATCTAGAGCAATTCCATTCCTGAAAAACAAAACAAAAAATTCCCAACTAAAGAACATCCTACAGGTGTGCATGCAAGGACGACGAAGATCCAACAAAAGAAATATGCATCGGTTTTTGGGTCTTAAAAATTTAGTACTCAAAACTTTTTCGGGTTCTAGAATAGGGATTGGGACGGGCCCAAAGCTGACCCATGCACTCCCCTACTCAGGAAGGGGCCTTTAAGCAACACAAAAAAGAAAAAAAAGAGATGTAGCAGCACACACACATACAGGTGATATGGGATGGAAGTCAAGGAACTGACCTGAAAAGGATGACACACGGTAGAGTTTTGATTCCTAGCTTGGTAACAAAAAAGGGAGCATTCTGCAATCAATTAGGGCATAGAAATGATAATGAACCTAAGTCAGAACCCAAATAAACCAATTTAATTTACAAGAATGCTTCAATTGGGAACTAAGTACGAGGGGTAAAATGAAATGCTTCTGCTGTACGGATAGCTATAAAGTGAGGCTGACCTCTGCATCCAATTTAAGGAACTTAGTATCAAAATGCTTTGGTGCAAGCAACTTCAAATGCTTATCCATTATCCTGCAAAGCTCAACAATCACGGTGATATAGTTTTTGCAAGAAAAGCAAAGACATTCATCAAAAGATGACCATGACCAACAAAGAACAAGCAAATTCAAGAACAATCATCAAAAGGCAATAAACAAAGAGATAACACAGTTTCCTTCTCTAAGACTAAGTGTATATTTGGCACATCATTTAATCGAGATTGTAAAAAAAACATTCTTGTGATTATTTAAGAAAATACCTGGTTTGATTTTTTTGAGAGAAAAAAAGCATTTTTAGTGCCTATAAGAGAGGAACTGCACTTAAGAAAGCACTAATAGCATAAGTAATTGGTTCAATGTTCTTACTTGCAACGGTAAAACTCTCGATGATAAAAGTGACAAATTGCTTTTTCACTATGCGTAACTTCACCCAAAAAATCTCCTTCCGTAATCTCTCTATACTCGCCATGTCCGTGTTTTTTAAGTTCTTGTCGCTTCTCAGCTTCTTTCTGTATGGAACAAGTCAAAATAATCCCCTCAATTACAAGGAAGAGACATTGTCATTCTTAAATTAAGTAGGTCAAAGATTTGGTGTGTAGAGAAGCCAAATACTAACCCGAAGAGAAGCAATCCTATCAGCATGCAACTTTTCCAACTCAGGATCCTGTTGTTAGATATGCAAACAGAAAGATCAGCAACCTCTTCATTAAGAGAATATACAAAATTACAAATCCTTATTACGATGTGTTAATAACGGACATTAAGATAATTGGCCAACATACATCCATGAGCTCATCAAGATCAACCTCTTCGTTAACAGAATTTGAAGTTTGTGCCTTGTCCTTGGCAAGCAATTCCTGCAGAAATGGAGATGCTCACAACACGGAAAATGACAGGGAAAGAAAATGAGGGAGAAGCTATCGACGAGACTTGGAAGGAAAGAAAACATAGAGAAAATAAAATATTTGTTCAAACTTAATAAATTTAGTTTTGATGCCAAGCATTTGTTCAAAACCGCGTAATTTATTTCCACCATACACAGACTAAAAATCTAATCTTTTCTTTAAACATTGAGCATCAATCATATTTCATTTTCATTTGCAATTTTTGAGATAAAACCAAAATATCCTAGTACTTTCCGTGTTTCCAAGATCTAAACACACCCTAAAGAGAGGGTTCAAGACAGAGCCACAACATTCAATGAACATATTCTCGAATAAATTGAATCAATATACAAGTAAAGCCCTAACTCCGAGCAAAACTTAACTAAAATTAACACCTGAAAATCACAGCAGTTGCATCCTACCACACTCGTTACTGAATTGGTGCATTTTTCACTCAAAGCTGATGTGAAAGAAAATCATTCATCTGTGGATACCAGATTACATTCAAGTTTAGGTAGCTTTGAACTAGACTGTCCAGTAATCTTTCCTTGCTTGTAAAACCAGAGAATTACAATCAAATGCCAGATATGGAAACAGAATAACTAATGTCTACCTATAGGTTGCGCTATTCTCCAGATTCGATAAGTGCATTATGCAAAACCTAAACTATGTTTCCGAACTCAAATTCCACAGAATGAAAAAAAAAGCAATAAATTAGAAAAAAAAAGGAAATTAGGAACAGGATAAATTCGGGATGTTAGAAGGAAAAAAATTAATTAACAGAGACCTTCTGATAATCGCGAGCTGCAGCGGCGATGACATTTCCAAATGCCAACGTAGAAAGAGTTGATTTCACAGAGTCTGGATCCATCTCTCTCTCTCTCTCTTTCTCTCAGAATTACTGTAGAAAATCCGTATAAGAATCTCCGAGAACGAAGATCAGTAATTTCAGGGACGAAGCCCCAAATCTCTCAAATGAATGAAGCTCAGCAGTTAGCAGCTGTTCTTTCTCTCTTTCTTCTTCTTCTGATTGCTATTTTTTATTTGGGCTATAGAGTAAATTTTTCGGCCCAATAGTGTTTATAAAGAATGTGGATTCATTCCCCATTTTGTTTATCACTCTCAAATGCAAAATGCCAAAAACTTGGACTTTTACAAGACCATACAATGGTCCATATAGAAAACAAAAACTATCTAAAATTTGACAAAAATAAATACTCTCAATCTCAAAATAATGTTTTTTTGTTTTTTTGTCATGTTTCCTAAGTATTGAACGGTTCATATTTTTTCCCCGCATAATATACAAATTTTGTTTTTCTCAAAAACTTGTAGGAAGTACAAGAAATTTACTAATGCTGGTTCAAGCAGTAGTAGTAACAGTCAATATACCTGGATTTGATCCAAATTACTTTATTTGATCCAAATTACTTTTTTCTTCTGAAACAGATCCTAAGATTATAAATCTTGAAGCATATCATGTGACACGTGTACAAACAATATAGACCAATACGAAATTTGAGACTTCAAATCATACAATAGCTTCGAGTGAAAATAATTCCAGCAAGCAATATGACCTCTATGAGTAATGGGGAGAAAACATTGGTCTAAGATTTCCACAAAAATACAAGAAAATATTGGTCTAAGATTTCCACAAAAAATAAAATACATATTAAAAGGTTGTAAAACAAATGCAGTTCAAATATATATTAAAACGGAAAATACATAATCCGCCATTGCAGGACTATGTGAGAATCTAGGCATGCCAAACACAACAAAACAGAACTAGTAAAACAAAGGGTGCAAGCCAATGGATGAGATCATAGATCGAATCTCAATCCTTCCTAAGCTCCATTTCCTCACGGCGAATCCCTTGGGAGTTCAATATGACTATCTCCAACCGGTCACCCTGCCGCACAAAGAAAAAAATCAGATAAAATGATCAATAAACTCATGACCATTTTAAGGAACACAAACTGTAGTTGTGAAACTAACGGGGATTCTCAGGGAATTCACATAACAATGGAATAAATCATTGTAAAGTCTTCAGAGTAACGTTCATTTACAGAGTCTGTGTAGATTAGTTACTATTCTTTCAAAGTGAACAGCCATATAAATCAAAACATAGAAAATACTAATGCTCCATAATAGATAAATAAATGCAGAGTAAATAAATAAAAGAAGCAATAGAAAGAAGAAGCAAGAAAGAGGCTTACAGTGTATATATCCCTCTCAGTTGCTGATGCAAAACATGTCTTCACTAAATGAATTGCTTCGTTCTCAGAAAGAGGAGTAACAGCATCCTGAGCAGGTAATGCAACCCATTTTAGACATCAAATAAATCTTGACATACTGTTTCTGAAAACGGGTTTGTATAGAAAAAATCCAGACCTGGGCAGGCAATAACAGTGGACTAGGGGACTTCAGCTGGTTATCCAAGAAAGGTGTGATCAACGTAGAGCCAGAGCCTTGAGAGCTGTAACCAACCCTCTCATATGATCCAACAGCATCATATGTGAAAACACATCCTTTGCCTGGAAGATTTTAAGAAAAGATGAGAGGCAAACAAAAATAAATGTCCATTATTGATACTTCCTCATTCCTGAAAAAAGACTATTGTTTCAAAACCTTTTTTTGTCCCAAAAAAAATTAAAATAACATTATGTTTTAAGACTTGTCCCTTGACAAAATTAGAAAGTTGTACCTTGACCAAGCATGATTCTTTTAATGAGAGAGAGGGAGTATACTCCCTACCAGTTCAATTTAAGAATATGATTTGACATGTAGCACACATTTTAAGGGTTATTCCAAAGGAAAATACCACCCATAGTAAACGGCACTTGTCCAGTTGTCCACCTATATTTCCATTAACTAAGATCCCCTTATCATGTAACAGTGTTGTTTTCATGATGTGCGTATAGCTTATTCAGTATTGGTATTAAAAAGATATGTGCTGGCTTCCAGGAAAATGGTAAATTAGTTTTATTTTTCAGAATTCATTAGGTATGCTAAGTTGCTAACATAGTCCAGCTATATTAAAATGCAAGAAAATAGACATTTTGCATGCATATGAAAACAAACTAGGTGTCCATACCATTAAACTATATTAAGATGCAAGGTTGGTATCAATGGATGGTTTACAAGTTGTTCCCATATTTAAATGAAAAGGGTGTCAAGATAAGGCTGATATAGTAAAAAGCATCACTCTATATCCTTTGGAAGTTGAAAAAAAAGTTCTAATTGTTAGTACCTAAGTGGGACATAAAGCAAACAAAGTAGTGTCAATTAATGTGTTGGGAATTGTGAAGATAATTATTAAGGGAAATCTAGAAACAAAACAAAACATTGATAGAATGAATGAAACTTAATTCTTCACATTAATCCAGAAGAAGAAGCATATAAAAAGATAGTACACCAATAACTAAAGTGGGGCATGTAATATGATGCTACCTTCATTATCAAGGCCACCAATGACATTGAAAGAGTAGTAAGGGAAAAACCGTTTGTAGTATAATGTGTTTGAAAGTAATTGAGCCATCGCAGGGCAGCTCATCTGCTTGCTGTGCTGGTGTTGATAAATCTTTATGGAAACAATAAAACATGTAAAAAAACAATCAATTCAATAAGAATGCAGTATAAGAGTTGTAATATTAATCATAAAATGGGCACAGCAATAGCAAATAACTAAATGCATTGCCATCTCATTTTATTGTACATGCATGTGGATATAACATATGATGATGGAGATTTAAGAATTCCATCATGTATCCTTCTTATGAAGGTTGCATGTCATCCAGCATAAAACATTTTCTATATGTTCTTAACATGAATTTAGTGCAAAATAGCTCTATAAATTAATATCACCGACCCCCACTATAAATATAGCATGTATCCCACTCAGCCTGACTATTTGAGATTATGGCTTTGATCATGGTAAATGTAATGATAAAGAATCAGTAGTAGTTCTTTACAATATGATAGGCATGTATAATGCACATCATAATTCATAAATGACATCTCTTTGAAATTCGCAAGAAAAATGAAATATCTTTTTGAACCGAATGCAAATATTATTATCATCAAAGAAAATTAGAGTACAGAACCAGTATTGTGAGGAAGGCCTACCCCCCTATACATAATCAAAACTAATATTAGAATCTAGCTACTCCAGTTTAGCTCCCCTAGAGTTCAAGAAGGTTGTGATCTGATAAGAAATCCAATGAACTGAACAGGTCAACAGGATCTGTTCTATAGGGAAGTACCTCTGAACCCTTTACTCTAAAAAATGAAATATCAACATCCAATTAATTGGATTACACTTCATGACATGATTGGCATCCTTAACCGATAACATTAGACACCCATATTTGAAGAAAAGATAGAAAAATGGAATGGGACATATCCATGTATATTTGGAGAATTATAGGACGATGGAAAAATCTAATTAAGAAAATAAGAAAATCTTGACAGCTTACCAGATGCCTGGCTTCCAAAACCTTTTGCAAAGCTCGCACATCAGCCTGAAACCCTGAGGAGGCCATCACACACTTATCTGCTCTGAAACAGCAAAGAAGAAGACAAGGTTCAAGAATATTACTCATTGAGAAACACCAATGATTAGAGTGATTGTGCGGCATTTAGGCATTTGTGCAGCAGATGGGTGAGAGGCTGGGGTGGAGGCTTTTGGTCACAATTTAATTTCTCTAAGCTATTTAAGGACATCAAGTTGCCTGGCATTCCATATATGGCACTATAAGATGAAATACATAACTGAGTTTTAATGATCTCGCTTTGGCATAAAAATTTAGAATGTTTGGAGTCCTTCCCTCCTCCAGATCCCAGACCTCCTTTCTTCATTTTGCTCCACTCAAATTTGGGGGTTTTTGGAGGTGAACTAAAATTTTAATTCAAACACCCTCACCCTCCCTTCCAACAAAGCCAAACAAGGTACAATGACATGGAATCAGACACAATCTATGGTGAAGTGTAAAAAAAGGAGATGGATTGTTTACAGTTTAATGATTTTGGAGTAATCCCGTGTGAGGATGTTATAGCCGGTGGACATCCGAGTATCCGCCGCAATCACGCAGTAATCCGCGCCGGCGACGGCGACGCATGTTCTGCACAAATCGTACAAATTGATGAGACTAGCGAATTGCAAAACGGGGAGCAGATTAAACCTAATGGGGAAAACGAACGGCGGAGGTGTAAAAGAAGATATTACCCTCCATTGTTGTCGTAAGGGGACCAGTTTGCTTGCTGCTTCGTCATGGCGATCTGATCGAGCTAGAGAGAGACGGAGAGAGAGTTTTCTTCTTCTGCAAGTGAGATATCTTCAGCCTTTTTTAAGGCTTTAACCCACTATTTTTATTTTTGCTAAACTTTTACAATCTCAATTTATATTTTCTACTCCTATTTATTTTACAAATCATTTTATTAAAAATATAAATTACATACTCCAAATAAAATTTACAAAACTAGTGGTAATATGATTAATTTATTTAATCAAATGACTATCGAAAAAAAGAAAGTGATAAAATTTGACCCAGTGAATAGTATAAAAGCAATTTAATTTGGGACGGGAAAAAAATATTTTACCCTTTTTTTTCTTAAACCAACTTCGAAAAAATTGATTTTTCTTAAACATAAAATTAATGTTTGGCAAAATTAATCTAACTTTATTCGATCTATACATCAATGAGATTAATCTTTTACTTTATAGGAAATATTTGTCAATTTTTTGCTTCACCTCACCAACTATTTTCATGCTTATTCAAATATTATTAAGTATTTTTCCACAGTCTGTTTTATCTTTTATCATTTCAGTGTTAATTTAAAACTACTCCGTAAAAGTATAACTTTACAATGATAATTTATGTTTTTTGTCATACACAATTCAAAAGACTGCTCTCGATGTATCATTTGTAAATTACAATCGCTTTTTGAGACAATTATAGTCAACAAAAGTAGTCTTTCATCGAAATCCTAACTCATAATGATAGTAATTATTCTTGTGTCATCCATCTAACTAATACTCCGTATCAGAATACGTCATCGGACATAAAGGTTAGTATGAAATTACACTTTTAGACTTTAAATTAACACTAACTTAGTAGAACATAAAAAAAATCATTTGTAAAAAGGCACCTATAAAAAGACTACAGATGTAAGGAGTAATATTTAATACGGAGTAATAGATTATTAAATATGAAAAGTCATCTTTTATAAAGGACCAATTATAGAATTTAATAGAGTAATATGTATATCTCAAACTCTAAGGAAGCTTGGTGGAGATGTTTGTCTTTGCTCTCGAGTGTTTTATCTACAACTATAGTAGATTTCATTTCGTGTCCTAAAAAATTGTGGTAAACAAACAAGTCATTAATACTCCGTAAAAGGTTAAGGAAATGTTGTACATTCCAAGACTCTTCCACTTGTTTTCCCTTTGGATTATAAGAAACCATACAATTTTTAGAAATTGGGAAACCATGTGGCCAAATCCTTACATCTCATAAGACTCTATCCTTTGATAATCCACAACAGGACAAAGGGCTTCATGAGTTAATTCATTGCAGACTCTACTCGCAAGTGGAACAGTACAAGGTGTGTTTGGTTTGGTTTGGTTTGGTTTATTAAGCTACAAATATTTCATGCAAGTGGGATACAAGTATTAGAAGCAAAGGGTATTAAGGGAATGTATGATTTATTTATTGATACTTTCATGTTCTATATCAGAGAAATGGACTTATACTGTCGCACAGTTCCTGTTATCGCCTTCTCAACGGGTAGCCTCTCCAAACTGGAAGCACCGTAAAACCCGTGAACGCCCTTGGCTCTCTTCAGAACATATTCGGCTTCCTCAGGGCCAGATATAGGGCCTATGAATTGGTCATGACCGATTCAATATCAATAGAAAATGAAAGGTTAAATATTAGAACGGGTCAAAGGATATCCACATTCATACCTCCATGGCAAAGAATGATCGCATTCGGATTGATCCCATGAGCAGCATCTGCAATAGCTTGTACAGAAGACACGCTTTGCTCCAACGATAGTGCTGTTTTTGCTCCAATGGATCCCGATGTTGTTAGCCCCATATGAGCAACTATAATGTCAGCCCCAGCTTTTGTCATTTGCACGGCCTCATTTGAATTGAAAGCGTATGGTGTTGTCAAAAGACCCATACTATGAGCTTTTTCAATCATCTCAACTTCCAAACTATATAATCCAAAAAGATCATAACTGTCTTAGTTTCTAGTCAAAAGGATCAGTCTCAACATATTATACTTGTTAGCTAGCTCTTCTAGGGCTCCTTTTGTTTCTAGTAACATAACTTTTGTGGAAAATGTTCCAATGAAAATGTTTTACTTGAAAATAAGCTATTTGATGCTTGATATAAGATTTTCCTTGATTCTTTGAGCATATAAGTTAGATGACTTCCTGTTTTCAAATGGGAAATCATTTTTGTTAAAACAGTTTTGTGCTTTCCTTTAAAATAATAGTCTGTATTTCCATTGTGCCAAATACAAAAATATTAACCTGGAAACTAACAGAACCCACCCAACTAAGAGTGTATAGATCTTATGTGCATTAAAGAGATGTGTTAATAACACATACCTGTAACCCATTCCAGTCTCTTCTAGATTTTGCCTAAAATTGCCGTCAAATAGTCCAACCGTTGGAAAGTTCTGCACCCCAAAGAATCCGACAGATTCCAACTGCTTCAGGAAGTGGTCCATCCTACGGAATGGATCAGTGGCACAAACTCCAGCTAGAACTGGTACCTTTTTTACCACCTAAAAGTTTTATAACTCAGTTTTAAAACAACGGCAACAAACAACATTTCAAGAAATCGTAGAACATCAACTAACACCATGAAGATACTACTATACTCATTCAACTAACACAATAAAGGGTGTACGGTGTATCCAGTACCCAGTGCCAAAACTCCCAACAATGGTCTAAGCCACGTTTTCCTTGTTTTTTGCAAGATGATGGATTCAAAGGTCAAACCCTGGAGGGAAGACTCCGACTAACATCAAATTCTAAAAATAGTACGCGTACTATTAAAAAATATAATACTTTTTATTTATAGGTAGGTTGACCTAACCAGTAAGTACTACATCCGTTCTGGTAGGGTTTTTCAACTTATCCTGCCACGGATATTAAGAAATGATGAAATTGTAGTTGAACTTTGTTTAGAAGAAAAAGATGTGAATCACACTTTTTCTTGAAATGGAAAGTGGAAATATGCATAGGGACACCCAAATATGGCAGGATTGAAATACCCAGTGGGACGGCAGGAGTATATCATACAGAGTATTTAAATTGAGTGTGATTCTTTTTTATCTTCATTTGTTGAAATCTGACTCTTACTTGGGACCAAATTATTGAAAGTATATTCTTTTCTTCCTTCTCTTTTGGGGAGGGGGGGGGGGGGAGATATTGTTTAAACTGTGTTATATTACAAAAAAAACAACCAAAAACTCCATCTTACAGGCAACACTTCATTGGCCATCTCAAGAACAATGGCATTTGCATCAGCAAAGGGCAATAAACCAGCCAAGGATCCTCTTCCTGCCATCCGAAACCGGCCAGAGTTGTACACGATAATCATATCCACACCACCAGCCTCCTCAAATTTTGCTGAGATGCCTGTTCCAGCACCAGCCCCAATTACAGGGTACCCCTTACTAATTTGATATCTTAGTTGCTGCAGTATCTGTTGTGTTCTCTGCAATGTCTCTGTTATAAGAGAAAATCATTTATCATAGGGTCTATAACCAAGCAAACAAAACTCCAATATTGCCCATGTTGCTAAATCCATATCGCAATCAAACAAAAAATACCTATCTCAATAAAAAGGGAAAAACATGTTGGCCACGTCCATAGCAAAAAGTGAAAGCACAAAACAGGGGAAACATTTTTTTTCCCTAGCACAAGCTACTATTATACTCTATTGTTAAATGGGCAGGTTGAGGAATGGATAGACTGGCTCAACTGTGAAGGCCTCGGGCAGGTCGTACTTAGTCGGGTTGAAATTTTTGACAGATTCTTTCAGAACTTCATATAGCTCAGACCTCTCTGATTTCCGTCCCTTCAAGAACCCATAAGCCCCCATCTTCAATAACATCAACCGTCCAATCTCATTCTCTTGAAGCCTATTGAAGAAGTGGATCGCTTCTTTTGGACTCGTTAGCACAGCTTTAATCACCTGATCATGGTTGGTCCGAGCGAACTCCAGTGCGTCATCTTGGAAACCCCCAGCCTTGTACTCTGCAACGGCAGTTTCCCGTTCGGTTGCCAGTCTGGCCTCAATTGCAAGCCGAGCCTCCCTTTCGGCTTTTAGTTGCTCTTCGGCAGCCAACCGTGCTGACTGCTCGGCTTTGAGTTTCTGTTCAGCCTCCTCAGCAAGCTGAGTAGATGTCTTCCCAATGTCTAGAGCGGCCTTTTTCTCATGGGGAATCATGGTGGACCGGATGTGGAGCTCAGCCCCAAAACTGGAAGCCTGCAGAAAAATGAATTTAGGACTCAAACGTATTCAAACTTTGGCCCCGCAACTATTAGGTAATTGTTTTGGTCTTTGACTTCCATTTTCCTAATTATGGTGCACGACTATAGATTTTTGCCACTTTCGGTCTTTCTAGTCACTTGTGAAAAAACAATCAGAAGTTGGTAGGATAAGTAACCGAAATGGCCAAAAGTGGACAAAAATTCATGGTGCAGCAGAAGCGGAAAAATGGATCTCGGACACTAACCAATGAAATTGGCCTAATAGTTGTGCAAACAAAAGTGGAATATTTTATTCGTATTAATTCAAAGGGTTAAAGTGGACGGGAAGGGCAATTTTGGATATCTTACCTTGCAGAGATGAATCTGGAGTGCCTCCGCCACTTGGTCAGTAGAAAAAGCAGCCATTTCACCGGTTGGGGAAGCAACAACAGAAGTCTCTTCCCTGCATAGCTTTTTATTTGGCTCGGACCCGATGATCATCTCACTGGCCAGTCTCTTGGCTGTAGATTTTGAGCGAGCTGCGTGCTTGTGACCGGTCCTTGCAGATAATTTCTGTTTCTTGAAGGGGATATTTTTTCCACGGGCTGGCCAAATGGGAACCTGTAGTGTCCCATTGATACTTCTCCCAAACTCCTCTAGCATTGGATCCACTACCCAGACAGGGAAAATGGTTAATGGAAAGAAAAAGTTGGTCAATCGCAAATAAGGAAAGAGTTAAAATTAGTTGACCTTCAGTCATTGCTCATGGGGAGTCATGGCACTTGGTTAATCAGCAGCACCACGGTGACGGATCTTTGATATCAGATGCGACCGTGAATCACACATCCCTTGCCCAAGCACATATAGCTGTTGTACCCCCCCCCGACCCGCTCAGACTCCACCTACGCACTAGATGGCTAGGCCCCAGTTTGTTGTTCACCTAGCACTTTTAGAATATTATCTATTCTAACAAACATTTGGACATTAACCTAAAATTTATAGTGATGGTCCGTTGGATCTGGAATCCTTAAAGATTAAACTGAGCACTATCAACTCATCGTAAAAGTAGAAAATGAATTCACATGGGCTCCTATTTATTTGGGAAGGAGATATTAGGGGGTTAGAAATTCACAAGGAGGTTTGACTACATCAGTTGTGCGGCCATCACACCTCTTTTACTCAAGAGGTTTCAAGGTTCGAAATTAAAATTTCCTGCTCGATTTTGTGCCACAAAAATCAGACTCCCAGATCATTCAATGGTGTAAAGATGCAGACTTAAGATTGCCACCCTAATGATGACACATTGACACAGCACTCATCAAGAGTAGCAAGTCAGGTAATGAATGGCAGGAACCATCAATCTATTAGAGCTAGATGTTGAAGGCATGCAGCTTGCAGAGAAGAGAGCACCAATCTGACCATTCATAGTGTGTCATGTGCCTTCCAACTAACACCATATGACCTTGATGGCCACCTGGTGCCTATAAATGCTACCTCATGCAACCAAAGGCAGGATATAGCCTGAACTTCTGAAATTCTAGAGGAAAAGTATCAATAGCATTGAAAGTGTCTGGATTGTACGTCCCGTCGTCCCGAGAGATGAAGTATTGATAATCAAAAGGTTCCAATTATTCGTTTGGGCATTTCTTGAAACAGTTGGCTAGCACTCGGCTTGCCTTACGGTACCCCTATGACCAGTAGACTCATTACTCACTTGTACTCTTACATTTAAATTTTGAACTCGTGTAGCTCCAGCATCGCTAAGACATACGAGTGTGTGCGTGCCATTCCAACCACGCGCATCGTTCACATCTAATGTAAACTACAATCCTCTTCCCTCTACCTCAGTCATCTTACTCGACCGTAATCTGACCAGCCTAACTGTTTAGAACCAAGGCGAATTAAAAAACGGACAATTGAGAACTATAAAAGAGCAACATGCCAACAGAATATCCTAAATAACCAGAGAGAAACTGAAGCATACAAAGGCACATGGCCCAAGTTATGCCCTTTCTTCCTTCCCTAAATCCTAAACTTATAAAGGTGCCTTGATTTTCAAACAAAGAATGTGTATAAGTGCAAAAGAAGAAGAAGAAGAATCAATTCACCTTGTTTTGCATTGGGGAAGTCACTTGGACATGAGTAAAGACTTTCTTTGCTTGAGAACTTTGTATGACCAACAAGATTAGCTTCTTTGCTGGACTCAAAGCTTGCTTGGGAAGTATCTACAACTTTTGGTTTCACAGAGATGTCTAAGAATGAATCGACCAATGCATTTGCAAACTCCAAGTCATTAATATGATAAGGAAACGTTTTAACCTACCAATACAAGAATATTTAATTGCGATGTTAAGAGACTGTACAGGCATAGTCCTTGAAATAAGTTACTAAGAAAAAATAAAATTTTGGAAACAGCCAATATTTTTATAAATGACTCGGTTGAAAGTTGAATGGATACCTGATGATCTTCATTTATCTGAACAAGTCTTTGTAGCTCATTAAAAAGGCATCCAGTTGCTTGAGGATCATAAAACGGTTTCCCTGGGGCATCCAATGCAGAAATACCTTTCTCTGGCAAGCAAACACACACCTTTGATGAGGATTTATTCAATTTGTCTGCTATAAAGGCGGCAACTTTCTTATTTTCATCCATAGTAGTACGCATAAGAGAAACCTGGGAAAAATAAAGCATTAAGTGACCTCGAGAGGAACAATTATGAAACTATATAGATCCTCTCTTTTATTAAATTCATTACTCATTAGTTCATTAGAAACATCATACATAATTAATAATTTAACTATGTTGTCATATACCATAGTTTCAAACTAGGTAGTCAAATACTCAAATTGATATGAAATGTCCATTCAGACTATGCAATTACTTCTGGTTTGGATTAAAGGCTATCTTAATCACTAAGGCCACCTACTACACACATCCTATCCATCTCAGACTATGCCAAGCTCCAAAAAAAATGCAAAATGAATTGATCAGAAATTTATAAAGAAAAAAGAAGGGAAAGTGTTGAATCGTTTAGCCAGATTACCTGTTCAGTGTGCTCGTGAATCTTCCTCTGCTGAAAATCAGAAGGTATGGAACTTTTTGGACCAAAATTTACCATATCCAAGGCTCCCACACTTAGAACTAAAGGAATCTTCTTCTCTAATATTGCATCAAAGCGAGAACCATCACATGCCATAACACCTCCAACAATGTAATCTGCAACCTCAGTTGTAGTGATGTCTAATACACCCTATGATGGAGATTAAAGAGGAAGTAAATGCAAACACAAAAACATGCTGTTAATATTATTGCAAAAAGGATGTCTCAAATTCTAGTAATAAAGGGTACGAGCCCATCAGGTCATGGTAAATTTTGCCAGAAATGGATGAATAATCTACATTTGATGAGAATTGGACTGAAATGGTTGGATGTGTTGATTCGTTTAAATACTTGTTTTTGTTTATAAGCATATTCTTTTTTTAAAAATTAAAGGAATTAATATCTGAAATGATGATTGTAAAAATGGCATTTCTTTTCATCTCAGACAAAAAAAAAAGTAACATGTGAGCTACGTTTTTTATTATTGGCAGATGTCAAATAAGTTTGTGACATCATCATCACCGTCACCTTAACCCAAACAAGTTGGGATCGGAGATAAGTTTTTTATTATTGGCAGATGTCAATTGTATATAATTAATCAACACTTAACTCATTCAAATAGCCGAGTGGGAATGTTTTGCATTGGATGCCCTTCCTATGATACAGGCTCATGGATGGACCATCCGTGTGCTCAATAATTAAACTAACACTAAGTCCATGCAAAAAGCCTAGGTTTGTTGTTGTGTAAATAAAATAGCCTATTAAATTTTCAATTCTACAACCAAAAGGATACATAAATAAAATCTCAGTTTCACAATAATCAAGTCAAATAGGAGTTTAAGATTGAAGAAACGAAAATAATAGAGACAGATAGGGTACAAGAGAGATTTGCAACGTGGGACAGTAGGGTGAGAATTACTTGTATGAATCCTCCTTTGACCAGATCCTCCATGGCCCTTCCCCCGACCCCAGTGGCATGAAAAACCAAGGTATCATATCCTTCTTTAGTCAACCTTTCTTTAACGGCATTAGCACACGGAGTAGTAACGCCAAACATTGTAATTCCAACAGTAAACTTCTCATCAACAGCGCGGGATTCTTTAAGGCTGTGAATTCTTGCAACCACCATACCAGCAAATGCGGCACCAGCATTGGATAGAACAACCCTACTAACACTGTTGATCCCACAAATATCCACTACCGACGGAAATAATACCAAGTCGGATGTTCCAATATAGTGTTCAGTTTGACCGCTGGCCACGGTTGACACAATCACTTTAGGGATCCCAATTGGAAGAGAGCGGAAGGCAGAAGACAACATAGACGTCCCTCCACTGCCCCCTAGACCGACGACTCCAGCAACAACTTTGTCATTCTGAGCTCCAATGAGGAAATTCTCAAGCCCTTTAGTCATGATTGCAATAGCTTTGCCTCTGTCCTCCGGAAGCTCTGCAGATTGCTCCGTTCCAGAATAGAATGAAAGAACATGTTTTCTTGAAACAAACTCGAAATCCCCACACCCACTAATTTCCTGGCTGCCAGTAGAGACATCCACCACTGTGACATCCACCTGTATGTTCTCATGCAGAATCATGATAAGCTTGTGTTCATCAACCAAAAGCACGAAATATTCCATTATAACAATAGAAAAAACACACACACAGTGGCGAACTGTGAAACCTAGTTCATGCGCAGCAGCCTCTAGCATCTCATAAACGAACTGTTAAATATATGTTGTATATTTAATATATTTTATATATTTGGTAGTTTCCCTTGTATAGAAGGATTGCATTTATATCCTACCATAATTAGGAGACTTGTCTCTTGTATCGAAATTAATCTTTCTTCATGGTATCAGAGCCTCTTTCCGTGGCCTAAAACCTAGAAACTCCCTCTCTCTCTCGTGCGCGTCTCGCAGCCGCACTCCCCAAACCCTAACGCCGCAGCCCACTGCTCGGCGTTCCCCCCCTCTATCTCACCGGCGACTGCCGTTCCCCAGCAGCGCCACCCACGGACAGCAACCTCCCCAGCGTTGCACCAGCAGTCTCTCCAGCGACGCACCAGTGCAGCAGCCCCTCTCCATGGCTGAGAAACCCTCCTCCGACAAGTCTCCTTCCCCGGTCTCAACTCCTCACCTGGCTTTCACGACCATCTCGAACGTGAAACTTCACGTTCCGATCCTCTTAAGCTTTACGGAGCCGAACTACAAAAAATGGAGCCGCCTCTTTCTCCTATTGGTTCGGCGCTTCTCCCTCGGTGACTTTCTCACCAGAAAATTGGTCCCCTCCAACAACAACGACACCGATTGGTACCAACTCGAGGCTCTTATCCAGGGTTGGATCCTCTCAACGATCAACGACGAGGTATTCGACTTAGTCCTCTCCTCTACCGACTCGGCGTCCGAACTTTGGCGATCCATTCACTCTCTTTTTCATGACAATAAACCGGCCCGGGCAATGCAATTGGAGCACCAATTCCGGACAACAAAGAAATGCTCGCTCTCCATATCGGCTTATTGTCAAACTCTCAAGAATTTAGCCGATTGGTTGGACGACGTAGATGCCCCTGTCTCGGAACAATAGTTGGTGTTGCAGGTTCTCCGGGGGCTGCCCGACGACATGCGGGGTCAAACCTCCTTCCTCCAGTTCCAAACTCCTCCGCCAACGTTTCTTCAAACCCGCTCAGCACTTCTTCTCCTGGAGCGTCAGCAATC